TAGATTTTATACATTAGATTTTATACATGTACATGTATATATTTGTATTTAATGCATCTAACTATCGCTCTGTACACCTGTACACTGTATGTGTATTGATTCTTTCACACGATTTTGTAAATTTGCGCAGAGTAGTGTTTGCTGTGTCAACGACACTAATCGCACTTCTCGTGACCTCTTTCGTTGCAGAAAAATATGGCCGCAAGTAAAACCGTAACAGGGCACACCAAGGACGTAGCCAAGCTATCAGAAAAATTGATGAATCACGAACCAACCTGCAAGCTGTTGGTCAAACAGTATGCTCTGGGGTTATCAAACCTGTGATGAGTTACAGATTAGGCCACGTACGGGTGTAATACAATACTTTCAAACATTTGTGGGATCAGTATATGAGATCGCCAGACACACAACTGTTGCTACGCACATACAACCCTCGATTCAATAGTAACACACAACCGCGCGGGTCGTGTGCTACCTGCAGATTCATGGGTCACATTATACAATGGAAGCAGTGGACCTTTTAATGGTGACCGAATCATACCGCGCTCGTGGTCTAATGTTTAATCGAAGCAATCGAGCCTCAGAATTGCTTACACTGCCTCACGAAATATAGTATTTATTAGCTGGAAATTCCTCATATATAGAGCATATGTAGGCTATACCATAACCAATACAACGCAGCGGAGGTATGAAACCCCCCATGGCGCCACACTTGTTCTCATTTAGACTAATTGAATGAGAAATGTAGGAACATAAATAGGTGGCTATATGTAAGCACTGACGCAGTAGGAATATAAATAGGTGGCTATATGTGTGCACTGACGCACATATCTTCGACTGATTTGGGTAAAGTATCCTTCCCAGCATCGCCCTCCACAGCCAAAGGTCGCTAGAGAAGAAAAACTTGTGCAACCTCAAGGAGGCGACAAACCTAAAGTTTCGACGTGTGTACAATGTGGGATAGAACCCATGATGCGAGAGTATAAGACATCGGTAACAACAAACGTTAGTAGTTGTTAGCTCTCGTTGCAACGCCAGTGCAAAGGCACAAAACAATAAACTGCTACACTACCAAAACGAAACACAAGTGTTTTAGAGGACCATTTTTGATTTGTTACTTTTTTTTTAATTTAAAATAGCCTTCTCCTGAAAAATAGAGAAGCAGCCCATAGCCTACTAGATTGAAACACTATTTATTTATTTTATTTTCATAGAGCCTATGAATTAATCTATTTTGAACTTTCGTTAAGAACGACTTTTAACTCACATCAATCCTCAGCTTCTCAGTTCTCACACAACTTCACAAGTCTCATCACATAGCCTTCTAAATTAGACAAGTCTCAACTAAATGAATATCTCTAGAGAAGTACGTGTTTTTATATATATATAAAAACGTAATAACAGATACATACCTATCATACGGTTCATACCGTACAATACATTTATATGATAAATATGGTTCATGAGTATTATTATACATATCACATTCATATGATTCAGTGCCAGTGATCCAGATCCATCACGACTAAAAATATTCACGAGAGAGTGGAAGAGTATTTACAACTTTATTATGATAGTGTGTGTACTCCGTCGTTATGGTAATGGAGAAGGAAAAAAAAAAATCAAGTCGCACCGTATTGGCTTGATCGGACTTTCAGCCCGCAACAGGGCGAAACTGCATCTAAATAATATAGCACCATAGTACCATTAGACGACTATTTCAGTGCCCCACGGCTCAAGCCTCAGGGCCCAGGCGGCCAGGCCCCAGGGGCCAGGGCCACAGCCTCGCGTGAGTTCAGGACTTCAGGTCTACGCCCACGGCTGACCGCTGGCGGCCTGACGGCTCACAGCCGGTCAGGACTCAGGGCCCCAGGCAAGAGGCCTAAGACAGTACATATACTCAATTGTTTTAGCAATTGTTTACTATATTTTTAGACAAAAAAAAGGTCAATTTTCAGAGGACTATGTAAGGAAAAAAACAACCTCATCAGTTCTTGACATCTGAATCTCAGTCAGGGCTGTCTCAGGTTTATTTATCGCGCCAGCCGCCCAGCCGCAGCCATAGCCTTCATGCCTATGGAAACTGGCGTCTGGCCCCTGTGGTCTGTGGAGAGTCTGGAGACAGGGGAGACCTAACTGTAATGGAAATAGAGGGAACCCGTGTAATAAACGTGCATATGCGAGTATTCGAGACACGAGTTCTTGGATAACGTGCATTGAGTGTGTGGGGCAAGCTGAACTAATTCTTGGATCTCAGGATCGGTCAGCACTGCTATACTGTGCGCTGGTGGGTATGCGTTTGATATAGAAAATGAGGCAAGGTAAATTAGTTTGGGGAAAGACCCCAGCATTCTTCGTAATATTCGCCGTGTTATATTGGTGTCACTGGTACACAGAACCTAAACGAGGGAGTGACGAACGGCTTCCTGATGCTCACTTTAACGGCACAGAGAACACAACATCCGCAAGATTGGACATCAACAAAGATGGCAATAAGAAAACACTCGAAGATATGGGAAATGAGACACTGTCACCGCACACGATTGTTACACTGCAGGATACCAAGAATAGATACTACCCGTCTTTTAATCACTCACACGCCGTCTGGGATGAGGAAGTGGTACAGCAAGAGAAGCACAAACGAGTGCGTGTAGTCGTATCGCTGACAACCACTCCTGGACGCCTCCCCTATATCCACAACATTTTGAATCGCATTAAAACATTTACCGACCAGCCAGATGCGATTTACGTTAACTTGCCAGAAAAATCGCGTCGTACGCAAGATGCATATATCGTCCCGGAGTGGTTGAAAAACGATCCGAATGTCACTGTCGTGCAGGCGGAGATGGACTACGGACCCGCTACCAAGCTACTGCCCACACTCAAACTTGAAACTGATCCCGACACGCTTATTGTGGTGTTGGATGATGACAGTTCCTATCACTCAGGTATGATTGCGAGGTACGTGGACTGGTCCAGGCGCCTTCCCTACGCAGCCCTAGGTATCAGTGGGTTGAACGTTACATGTGCAGTGAGCATGCACATAAACTCCTCCACACTGCTTAGTGATGTGCCGAAGAGTTCGGTACATAAGCTCTTCTGTCCGTCGTTAACATACGATAAGTTTCTGTATATCCGTCAGCTAAAAGGGGGTACATGCATGCGCACTGTGACGAATCGGAGGCCGAATGACTGTGCAGCTGCCGTATACAATATACCACTAGCCACAGACGTGATTGAAGCATATGCTAGCTTGGCCGTGAGGCGTGGGTTCTTTGACTACTCTGTATTCGATTTCACAACAATCAGCGAACGTCTTGAGGCGAACAATTGCTTCTACCGGGTGGACGACATATGGTTTGGGGGCTACCTGGCCTCTAAGAATATCAGTAGGTTCATTATCCCTAGCAGACCTATTGGAGACTTAGGTTTGAATGCAACCTATGTACACCCCAAAGTTAGGAAAGAATACACAGGCAAGAACATACCCACAGAGAAGGTACCAGCGCTCTCACCGATCGACTCCTTACACGAGAACAGCCATGTGCGCCCGGATGAGTTGACCTCTGCACAGTGCAATATAGAGGGTGTGAACTATTTCCGGGAAGTATGGGGTAACTTGCCGCGAGTACAGACGTACACACCAGCAGACGCGAGTGAGTACGAAATGTTATAGACGACTATAGAGGACTTGCATTTGAGCTAATTGGTGTTGGCACGAACATGTCAGGATTGCCCGAACGCCGGATGAAACCTCAAGGGAAGCACACAAGGCAATTGAAATAATCGAATTCCACCAACCACTCAGCAACTGTCTTTCGGAGAGGTGTAAAGTCGGTCACGAGTAGGGTCTCAACATTAGCCTGATGGAAAAGTTTAGACCGCTAAAAGTTGGCAATCTAGATTGTCACACTGATACGAGGAGTATAATTGAGTCGGCGCACGTATGCACAGAGGCCGGAGGGAAGCACAAACCATTGAAATGATGTACACTAGCTGTGCCAATGTGTGGAGCCGTTCACGAAATAGTCGTATGGACGGTTCGTGACATACATGGTACTTACAATGTTGTGAATCGAGAGGCACGCACAGATACTTGTTGTGCTCACAGATGATGGTTCTAGTGGCTCAGAAATTATAGTAAGAGTCTGGATAGTCCATCACAGCCGCCTGCTGCTGAAATTCATGCTTCGAGTGGGCTCAGGAATTGTAAATGGGAACGCCGGGACAATAATGGGGCATCGAAGGGTCTCGGATACTTTATTGAAAGAGCTTGAGTACTCTGTACATAACCGTCTGTTGCTATAGACTGATGAATCAGGGCCGCGAGCTGATTTGAAACGACTGTACGAGAGTCCGAAGGGTGAGCTTTGTGTTTGAGCCGGAGTACTTCCATTTTTAACCACATCAGGTAGAGAGCATCAATATATCTTGCGTATCGACATTTTGGGGATTAATTCCATTGCTTGGATAAAAACACAGAAACGTGGTCTGTCTATATCGAGATTATTCCATATAGCCTTTTAAATGGCCACTGACGTTCTATGAGACGGCGCATGCAAACTACACTGCTGAAGTGAGTCAAGGAACAGCAAGGTAGTATTGCGGTTATTAGGACAAACAGAATGAATTGAAATTTAGAAAATACCCAATAACATCAAATCGTCTTGGATGGCCAGGAAAAAATCAAGGAGTGCACCCTCTTTGTTGCAATGCTGAATCACAAGATTTCTTGCTTTTACCTTGCCTTGCCCTAGTTGAAAGTGATGGGGTAAAATTCCGCAGCGAATAATCTAATTGAAATAGGGAACAATCACGTCTACCACAAGTGGCGTATGATACCATCTCAATGCAGTAAAGTTCTAGTAACAGAGCCCAACTATCCCTCTGGCGTGCGTTGGAGTGTTTTCTATAAGTTCTTTTCTCCATCATGAGCGTCCTAGCACCTTAACATAATTTCCAGGGAAGTAGCCTACTTTCCCGTCTATTTCGCCCACCCACCAGTGCTCGATCGAGTATGTGGCCATGAGAACCTAGAGCAATGTTTAGACGTCAAACTTGTCTTAAGAAAAAAATGGCTGGATTGCAAAAGTAACCGAGCCGACACAGGTATGCGTAGTTGAACAGGAGTTCCTGTCTATAAGCGAGCTTCACGAAAGCACTGTGTATAATAAATGAAATCTGATAAAGTACTCGCGGAAATATACAAACTTTCGAAACGACTTACAATGAATGTGTCGCCCTTCTTGAACGTCAGATCAGACGTCTCCCTTGCTTTGAAATCGTACAAGGCTGTTAGGCGGGCAAAGCATGCGCGAGGTTTGGGGAATATTATATTTAATAAATAAATATAAACCACGTTCGAAACAGTTGATGCCGTTCATACTCAGAACAGAGTGCATTGTCTTCGGATAAGAACCACTGTAGACCCACACCAGTGCACACATATCAGTGCGCCACGCGATGACGACAGTGGCAAGCTAACTCATGCAGGTTGACTCATGCAGGTTAACTCATGCAGGTTAACTCATGAATGCTTGGTGACACCAGCAACACCCGCCTTTCGCCCTTTTCAAGGTCATGTTCATTGGCTGCCTCGGCGTTATGATACACGCAAAAATATCTACATATACACACACAAGTATATACCAATATGCTGCGCATACCTCTGGTTCATCCAGACTGTCAACCACACCCACTTTCAGCCCGTTTGAGGAACTTGGGTGGTTGATGCCATCGTCTGCGCACATATGAATATATATCGCTATATATACAGAGATACTCATAGACAGGTCTATGCGACCTGTACATCTGGCACACCCACGCTGTCAACCACACCTACCTTTCGCCCGCTTCATTATCTTGTTCTTAGCCGGCCTCGGCGGAATAGGCGGCGGTTTCCTCCGACCACCTTTCTCTGTGGACAATTGGTGGTCACCATACTCATCTCCATCATAAGCATCCCTGCTATTGTAGTCATCACTGGGCCTCCTGTAGTTCTCAGCATCGTACCGTGGATCGTACTCGCCGTCCCTATAGCTGTCTCGACGATCATACGAGTCATCATAGTCTCTATCACGGTCATATTCAGAGTCGTATTCATTGTTGTAGTCATTGTAGTTGTTGTCGTTGTAATCGGTAGCATAACTGCGACTAGCTATGCTGCGCACACTCCCCGTGCGCGAAGGTTGCGTCGCCGGCCGTCCAGGAGCATCCTGGCTGGACGACCTATGAATAGAACTGGAGCGACGGGGCGGTAAACCGGGTCTCCTTGGGTCACTGTGTATAAAACAAGTAGCGAACATTTGACTGCTGTAATTTGTATGAACCTTACCCTTGACAAATGGCGAATAGCAAATGCCAAAAACCGGTATTGGAGTTGAGACCTGGCCCCTGTACAACACATACCCAAATCCATTCCTATCCCAAACAGAGCCATAGTTTGAATCTTAACATACTCCTAGATGTTAACATACTACTGTGGCATTCTCTAACCAACGTACTATCCAACACATTCGCTTGCTTCTGCTGACAAGGACATAGTATACTTTGCAACAATGCAGGTCTGCTTACGTTGGCTGTCGAGCTGGTGCCACCCTAGGCCGTTCGGGCGGTTGAACTATGTTGTACCCTGAGCTGCGTGTGCTGTACGAATCGTAATTGTCATCGTAGTCTGATTGTCTGTACCCGTCGTCCTCGTATCTGCTATCACGGTAGGAGATGTTGTTGTCGTTGTTGTAATTGTCATTGCTGTAGCTGCTATTGTTGTTGTAGTTGCCAATGCTGTAGCTGCTTTTGTTGTAGTAGCTGTTGTTATTATTGTAATTATCATCTCTGTAGCTGCTGGCTGCGTAGCCGCTCATTTTCATCGCCGAACGTGTGTCTCCTTGCGATGCGCCGTGCGCCTAGTAACGAAGCAGACAAGGGTGTGTGTGATCCCAAAGCGATAAAACAGTATGCCAGACATGTGGGAGGCATTCAGGCAAGTTGACAACACTGCAAAAAGTGCGTGTGTGACCTTACGACAAGTGTGTACATAGTGTTTTGGAGATACACCGAATATATGTGACTGCGAGAGGAAAGTGTACTATTAAGCCTGGACGACACATCCGCATAAAGAGCGGGACACATGTATCTTTGAAAAAATCAGACATGCGTGTAAGGCAGAGTGTGACAAGCATTGTCGATTCGGCAACAAAAGTCTCTGGTACGACGGTTCGTATGCGCGATGCTGTGAGGGTGCAGTTGTCGGGATGTTGTAGTTAGGTTGATATAGACTCAGAGCTTCGTGGGAGCGTGTTTCTTGTTGAGATAGGTATTGTGCACTAAGTAAAGATAGACCTGCGTCTTTATTATCTCAACAAATGCCTTATTGGTTTCTCTAACAATATTCAGAGCCCATACAAATTAAACAGGACTGATAAAGAAAACATCATGAAAACATATACTTTCAACGCATCACCGCACTGAAAACTAGAAGATAAAAAAATACACACTGCGCGCGACAAGCGAAATAGGACAGCAGCTACGGTAAAACCACTCACCGCTCTGGCAAAATCAGGATTGTCTTGAGCCTTATTGGCCACGTATTTGAATTGATCCGGATTATTGTTTGCCCATTGTGCACCGGATTTTACCTAAAATTCAAGTGGTTTTTTTGGTGACTGTAATTACGCGAACTTCCGGTATACG